TAATACTTGAGCTCCCCAGGGTGAAGAGTTGGGTCTGATGAATCCTTTGTCGAGTAGTTCCTTTAGTTGTTCTGACAATTCTTTCATTTTCAAGGGTGCCAAACGATAAGGTGATTTGGCTTCGGGTGCTGCTCCAGGAATTAAGTCAATGTGGAATTTGACTTTTCTTGGTGGGGGTATTCCAGGCAATTCATCTGGGAATACTTCGGGAAAGTCCCGAATTATAAGAATATCTTGAACGCGTTTTTTTTCTCCAGCTTTCTTATCCATAACGTGAGCTAAAAAGGCAATGCAGTCCTTTCTCAAATACTTTCGCATCTTCAAACACGTCACTATTTTAATACCCCTTCTGGGTTTTTCTTTGTGTACTTCGAGTATTCCCCTTTCGGATAACGGAATTCGAATGATCTTCTCGAACAACTAATTTCAGCTCGGTTCTTGGATAACCAATCCATGCCCACAATTATGTCAAAACTTCCTAGTTGGATCGGGATTAAATCTACACGAAAATCCCTACTAGTCAAGTTTAAAGTGCAGTCCATTATTATATCTCTGGGCATAATTTCTTGGCCATTGGCAAACTTCATTACTAATCACATCATCAATAAAACTCTTAAGGTTAAGACGAGAGTTGCTATGGTAGAAGCAAAAGGGTAGAAAACAAATTAGAACTTCTGGATGACCAGAGCCTCTGGTTGGCCAGAGCCCCTAGTTGAGGTTCCCATACTTGGAACTACATTTGACTTTTAGCTCATCGGCCTCTGGTTCAACCTTCATATCAGTCCATTGGATCTCTTGGTCCATCAATTTCAGATTCCTCATATACAGTAAACCGATGAATCGCCTTCCATCAACCTTCTGGTTCCTCATACATAGTGAACAGATGGATCATCTTCCATTAATCTCTGGTTCCTCATACTTAGAAGATATTTCCCTTTCATAGACCAGAGCCTCTGGTTCTTCTAACCAGAGCTTCTGGCTCTCGAAATCAAGCCAACTAGAGCTTTTGGACGCTCATTACTTATATAGAATAGTGGTCCTTATTCAAAACTAGAACRCAATTCTCACTATGTCCAGGCAATTTCCTACCTAACGCATAGTGCGAATTTTGAATACAGAGGCTATAGAGACTATATCCCTTATCTATGTCTAGCTACCAAGTATTTAGATACATAGTTGACCCTCGGGTTGTCTTAGCGCTCTATGTATCTTACTTTACTTCACAACCAGAGCTTCTAGTTAATCTATGGCGATGGATATTCACGATTCATGCAAACACACACGATCATGCTTTTCAGGTTTAAGATAAAATCTCTAAATTTGACCTTATTTCAAACACAACCGATGGGAATCTTTTATCACAATACTTAAGTTAAACAAAGGTGATCAGACTCTGTTTAATTTGAGTACTATAACACGACTTCCATCCTCTGGTTATACTTAGTAACTTTGTTTTGAAAACATTTGGTTATAGCTTGGTTTTAAGAAAAACCGGTGTTCTCTATAACCTATGGCTCTGATACCAAATCTGTCACACCCCGCTAAARCGGAAACGCGAGGTATGATAGGTAGAGTCTCATAGCAATAGAGTATAAATAACACAATCATACATTTAAAATGTAATTACATCATAACCAAAGTTTACAATTCCAAAGTCAAGCTTGTAAATTAAACACAAAAGAAGTTTGAAGGTGATGACTGTGACACAACTTCTTTTTAAGTGTCACCATGAGCCTTTCTTACCCCTGAAAAGCACGTCAAAACAAGTGTCAACTACAAGAGTTGGAGAGTTCACAGGTTTTCAATGCACAACAAATCTTTTTATGCAATATTTAATTCTAGTAAATCTTTTACTTACTCGCAACACTTACACACGAGGCACAATGTACTCCAAGAAATTTTTAAGTGTTGGGCCACTACTAAACCTGCGACAACTACGCCCTTAAATACCAAACTACCTCAGCGGTGGGACTAAACCCCACATGTGTAGAACTCTTACCGAACTACCTCAGCGGTGGGACTAAACCCCACATGTGTAGAACTCTTGTTTTAGTTAAATGCACCCCTACTCACCAGCAGAAGGTGGGATTGTCAATCCAAATAGCGTTATCCACTTAAACTATCGGCTCATACGAGTTAATAAGTAGTGTCACCACTGGGATTTTTTAATTAACCCAAACACAACTATTACTAGGGTACAAGGTGTTAGTGCTCGTATTCACAATTTTATTTCAAAGCATAATTCATAAGAATCAAATTGAATCCACAATTTAAACACATTGAATATTGCATGCAAAACATCACTATTTTTATACATGCTTTTCCCCAAATAACGAAGGGTTTTAAAAAGGGGTCGTGAATACTCACTCTTTTGCAATGCTCCGCAAATTAGAGATACGATCCGGTCACCACACGAGCTTAACGATTCCCTATCAAAGAGGAATATCCAAAACTGTCACTTATGGGTTTAAAACTACTTATGGGGATTAAGAAGTCCTAAGTCCATAAGTGTCTACTTATGTCCAACTTGATTATCTATTGTCCAAATATACATAATGTCCAAATGCTCGTTAATATATTAATTTATACCGAAAGTAATGCTATAGTCCAGTAAAAAGGTCAATATTTACAAAATAAAATAATCCCAAAATCTCATTTTTGGGCAGAAACTAATGATACATAAAATGATCAATTTAAAGAGATTTCTAAAATGAGATAGTTTCCTATCTTTTTATATGGGATATAGCACTGATTTATGGTCATTGTGACCAAATTTCATACATTTTGGACATGCAATAATGATTCAAATAATTTATGCAATACAATTTATCACAACTGATATGGCAGATTACATCATGTTAATAAAATACTCATTTAAAGAGTTCTACTAAGTAAGTAAAGAGTTATTAGCATACACTAAGAGCAAGTAAGTAAAGAGTTATTAGCATACAAAGTAGGAGTTACCTACTGGTGGTTTCACAGTTTGCACACCTAAAATGTTTTAGGTGTTTAGAGATCAAAACTCCATATTTTCACGTGATTACACTTGCATGAAGAAGACAACTCATATAGTTAACTCTCAAAGGAAGAATCATCCTTTTTCATCGAGTTTTGAAAGAGATATGGTCATTGGAACCTACATATACAAATCTGTCAAATTCGGACAGATTGCATGTTCACTTTGTTTTGAGTAGTTAACACCTCAAATCACCACATTATTGAATGAAATCAGTGGCATTTGAAAGGTAACTCATTAAAATAACATCCAGAAGAAAAATCAATGATTTTGTATGATTATCTAGAGAGTTATGACTGTTTAAATTAGGGTTTACCTACTTAAAAACTCTCAGATGCACATATATAATGTTTTGAGTATTTGGGGAGTCAAAACTCAATATTTTTGAGTGAGACCAATTGGATTACAACCCCAACTTTTTAGAAGAAATTTCATAACATTTGAACATATCATTTACAAGATATAGATGATTTGTGCACATGCACATAATCTGTCAGCATCTAAAGATGCCATTTTTAAGAGACAAACTCACATAAAATCTTGATTTTACCTATCTTCTTGAGTTCTAATGTTTGGGTCATAGATTACCACCATCATATAAACATTTTTACATGTTTTTGGTGTATAATCTCTCCTTAAAACTTATAATTTTCGGAGGTTAGAAGATAGTAGATAAAGAATGCATAAAAAGTGGGTTTTTCTCCCAAATAGAAAGGTTTTATATTCAAAACACTAAAACTTCGAATTAGAGCAACTGGCACTGTATAGGACATTTCAGATAATTACGGGTCGGAACCGGACTTTCTAAGCAACTGCCGGAATCTCTAGAAATTTTTCAACCAAACTAACCTAACTAACTCCTAATCTTATAAATTATCTTCAATAACACTAATATAAACTTAATAAGAGCTAATCTGGAAGTTCGAATTTGACAGCTGTCACATTACGTCCTTGCTTCCTTTTTATATTCTATATTATGTATTAATTCACCTTACAATCAAACAAAGGTCTTCAAATTCCTCATCTAAAATCATCTCTTTCATTGGACTCTAATTTAACTTTGGCTACAATCTTCGTGGACAATAATTCGGTACTTGTACCACTTTATTACTTGGAAAGACGACATTGGGCCGTATTGTATACTTGCTTTGTGGCCCAAATTTCATTATTCTAAATGTGTGAGATATAACCGACCAAGTTTTTGGCGCCGTTGCCGGAGATTAGCAAGCTAAAAATTTTATTTTGAGTAAATTAAAAGTTTTGATTTTTCTAGTACCATCGCAATCATTTTTAAGAGTGGTGTATGCCACGGACACATCGCGGAGAATTTTTCGAATTTGATCCCGACATTGAGAGAACGTTTCACCACAGGAGAAGGGCTCAAAGAGCATTTTTCGCTCTACTCCCTCAAAACATGGCGTTACCTCCTCCAATCATTCCGGAAATACCGTATTTGAAAAACCAACCGTCGGGTTTTCAACCAAATCCACCATTCCCGAACTTTCAACAAGGACATTCACATAACGATAATGATAATAATTTAGACACAGAATCGGACCATAATGAACAACAAAGAGCACAAACTTCGAATATCATTAATTTGGCAAATTCCAAAAATGGAAGAATCATGGATTATGCGATTCCGGATTTTGAGCAATTGAATTCCGGGATAATTAGGCCACATATGACCGCTCTCCATTTCGAACTAAAACCGATAATGTTTCACATGTTGCAAACAAATGGCCAATTTTCTGGATTACCTTCGGAGGACCCACATTCACATTTAAAATCTTTTGTGGAAATCACAGATGCTTTCATGATCCCGGGAGTGTCTAATGACGCTCTAAGACTCACTATATTTCTATTTTCATTGAGGGATCGGGCAAAATCATGGTTTAATTCTTTAACACCGGGTTCTGTACCGTCGTGGAGTAACATGGCCGAAAGAGTTTTGCAAAAATATTTCCCACCAACAAGGAACGCTAAGTCCAGGAACGAAAACTGTCTTTTTAAACAAATGGACGATGAGGCTGTTCCTGACGCGTGGGAAAGGTTCAAATAACTATTGAGGAAATGCCTACACCATGGCATTCAGTACTGTATTCAAGTTGAGACGTTTTACAATGGGTTGAATCCCATGGCAAAACAAATGCTCGACGCTACTGCAGGCGGAGCCTTCACAGCTATGACCTATAATGAAGGATATGAAATCCTGGAAAAGATATCAGCCAACAATGGGCCCTGGGTTGACCCACGTGCTCAATCACATAAAAAGAGTGTTGGGATACATGATGTAGATGCATATACTGCATTAACAACTATGCTTACCTTCATGACCAACATGTTGAAAAATTTAACTTCTGGTCAGGGAGGACAGTAAGCTGCTAATACACCTGTCCCAACAGTCCTATCTATGCAATGTGTGTGCTGTGGTGGGGATCATTCATATGAACATTGTACTCATAATTCTGAATCAGTAAATTATGTTCATAACAAGCTAACCCCTATTCCAACAATTATAATGCCAGTTGGAGACAACACCCGAACTTTTCGTGGAACAGTCCAAGTTTGAATCCACCAGTCCATTAACAACAAGGAACTTCTTATTTCCAACCACAACATCATAGAAACAGTTCTAACTCTCAGACTCACCAACAAAGTTTTCAGAATTCCCAACCACCTTTCAGACCAAACCTCCTCCACAGACAAAATCATCTACTTTGGAAGCAATGATAAAAGGACTTTTTACGCATGCACAAGCCCAAAATCAAGCTTTGATTAATCAACAATGTGCGGCCATCAAGAATTTAGAGACTCAAGTCAGTCAACTTGCACTCAACCAGAACAATCGGGCCCTTGGTACCTTGCCCAGTAATACAGAAGTCCCTAGAGACCTAGGTAAGGAACATGTGAAAGTAGTGACCCTTAGGAGTGGGAAAGAGTTGAAAGAAAAAGTACAAAAAGATAGCACACCTATTTTGACAGAAGCTGATGTTACATCATTGGTTCCTGCCAAAGAAAGACCGGTCCTACCCTTAGAGAAACAGGCATTGGAGACCACCACTTTTGTCCCCCCTAGATCAAAATACCCATTACTCTTTCCTGAGGATGCTTTAAAAAAGTCAGAAGAAACTAAGGTTTTAGAGACTCCTAAGCTTGATGCTAAATTTCCATCTGAACCTCCAAAGTGCACCACAAAGACCCAAGGCATTCAGGACCCATTTTGCTCCACACCTCCAAGCAAGAATGTGATAAAACCAGTCCCTCCTTATCTTCCTTACCCCCAAAGGTCGAGGAATCAAAAAGAGGAACTGCACTTTAAGAAATTCTTGGATGTGTTTAAAGAATTGCACATCAACATTCCACTTGTTGAGGCAATTGAGCAAATGCCTAGTTATGCTAAGTTTCTGAAGGACATCCTAAGTAAGAAGAAGAAGGTGACTGAATATGAGACTGTAGCCCTTACCGAATGATGTAGTGCACTTTTGACCAATAGCATACCCCTTAAGCTCAAAGATCCAGGGAGTTTTACCATTCCTTGTTCAATAGGAGGGAAGGAGATAGGGAAAGCCTTATGTGACTTAGGAGCTAGTATCAACCTTATGCGTTTATCCGTTTTCAATACCCTAGGCATAGGTGAAGCTAGACCTACCACGGTTACACTCTAATTGGCCAACAAGTCCATAGCATATCCTAAGGGAAAGATTGAGGATGTGTTAGTGCAAGTTGACAAGTTCATATTTCCGACAGACTTTATCATTTTAGACTTTGAGGCAGATAAGGACATTCCTATTATTTTAGGAAGACCATTTCTGGCCACCAGAAGAACTTTGATAGATGTCCAAAAAGGAGAGTTGACCATGAGACTCCAAGACCAAAAAGTCACATTTAATGTCTTCAACTCTCTAAAGTACCCTGATTACTTGGAAGAGTGTTCAAGAATATATGAGATAGAGGAGATGTGCTTTGAAGAAGGAATTCAGAAGAATCTTGAGTTGGAAGAAAAGTATGATGAGGAAATAGAAGAAGATGTTGAGGAAATAGAGGAAATATGAAATGATGTTGTCCCAGTAAATGCTGTAGCATTTGAGCTGCTAGAAAATAGTGAGCAAAAAGACTTCATCCCGTCCATTGAATCACCACCTGAATTGGAGTTAAAGCAACTCCCATCCCATCTGAAATATGTTTTTCTAGGAGAAGAAGGCAAATTGTCTGTCATTATCTCATCTACCCTAGAATTGCATCAAGAAAGAAACTTATGGATATGTTGAAATTCCACAAAAAGGCCTGAGGATGGACCATTGCTGACCTTAAAGGGATTAGTCCCTCTATTTGTCAACACAAGATCATCTTAGAGGATAAGACTTTCACATCCATAGAACCTCAACGAAGGCTGAATCCTGTCATGAAAGAGGTAGTCAAAAAGGAGATTTTGAAATGGTTAGATGCCAGAATTATTTTCCTGATAGCAAGTAGTTCTTGGGTTAGCCCAGTCCAGTGTGTTCCAAAAAAGGGAGGGTTTACAGTCATCACAAATGATAAAAATGAACTTATACCCACTAGAGTTGTATCCGGTTGGAGAATATGCATGGACTATAGGAGACTAAACAAGGCTACTCAGAAAGACCATTTTCCATTGCCTTTCATTGACCAAATGTTGGACAGGTTAGCCGAAAAGGAGTACTACTGTTTCTTGGATGGTTATTCAGGGTACAATCAAATAGCCATTTCTCCTGAAGACCAAGAGAAAACCACCTTTACTTGTCCTTATGGCACCTTTGCTTTCAGAAGAATGCCATTCGGACTGTGTAATGCTCCTGCCACCTTTCAGAGGTGTATGATGTCCATATTTTCAGATATGCTTGAAAAATCCATTGAAATATTTATGGATGATTTTTCTGTATATGGGTCATCATTTGACAACTGTTTGGAAAATTTGAAAAAGAGATTGGAAAGGTGTGAGGAAACAGACTTAGTCCTAGATTGGGATAAATGTCACTTCATGGTCAAGGAAGGAATTGTTCTTGGGCATTTAATTTCAAAAAGAAGGGTTGAGGTAGATAAAGCAAAACTCAAAGTTATTGAAAAACTACCCGAACCTACCACTGCTAAGGGAATTAGAAGCTTTTTGGGTCATGCTGGATTTTATAGAAGGTTTATCAAAGATTTTTCAAAAATTTCAAAACCTCTCTGTTTACTCCTACAACATGACCAAAAATTTGATTTTAATGACGAATGCAGAAATGCGTTCAAAACCTTGAAGAAAGCTTTGGTTACCGCACCGGTGGTAGTTGCCCCTGATTGGAACAAACCTTTCGAAATCATGTGTGACGCGAGTGATTGGGCGGTAGGTGTTGTGCTAGGACAAAGGAAAGAAAAGGTGTTTCATTCAATTTATTACGCAAGTAAAATTTTGAATGAGGCACAAATTAATTACACCACAACAGAGAAGGAATTATTGGCCATAGTGTTTGCTTTTGAGAGATTTAGGTCCTACTTGATGGGAACAAAGGTAATTGTGCATACCGATCACGTAGCCATCAAGTACTTGATCTCAAAGAAAGATGCAAAACCAAGGTTAATAAGATGGGTGCTTTTATTGCAAGAACTTGACTTAGAGATACTTGATAGGAAGGGAGTAGAGAATCAAGTGGCAGACCATTTGTCTAGGTTGGAAGAACCTGAGATAAGAGGAATGGACATTAGTGATACTTTTCCAGATGAAAGAATCCTCATGATTGACCAACCAAAAACACCATGGTTTGCGGATTTAGCAAATTTCTTGGCCTGTGGAATAAAACCCTCTGATTACACAGGCCACATGTTAAAAAAATTCTTTCATGATGCTAAATCTTATTTGTGGGATCACCCGTTTTTGTTTAGGCTTGGTGCAGATCAGATTTTAAGAAGATACGTGCCCGAATCTGAAGTGGCAGCAATCCTGCAGCATTGTCATCATGCACCATATGGAGGCCATTTTGGAGGCCAAATGACTGCAACCAAGGTTCTACACTCCGGTTTTTATTGGCCAACCATTTTTAAAGATTCCCACAATTCTGCGCAGAAGTGCAACGAATGTCAAAGGAGTGGCTCCATTTCCAAGAGAAATGAAATGCCACTAAATGCGATACTCGAAGTTGAATTATTTGATGTATGGGGAATAGACTTTATGGGTCCTTTCCTTCCATCAAATAATTTCCAATACATATGTGTGGCTGTTGATTACTGTGGTGAAGTTCCTCCAAAAACAAATTTTCACATGGTTCGGTACCCCTAGAGCACTAATTAGTGACGAGGGTACCCACTTTATGAACAATTTGTTAAAAGGAGTTCTTGAAAAATACAATATTAACCATAGAATTGCCACGACTTATCACCCACAGACTAATGGTTTGGCAGAGCTCTCTAATAGAGAAATTAAAAGCATTTTGGAAAAAGTGGTCAAACCCAATAGGAAGGACTGGGCATTCAAGTTAGATAGTGTTGTATGGGCATACGAAACTACTTTCGAAACACCAATTGATATGTCTCCATATAAGCTAGTCTATGGAAAAGCCTGCCATCTACCTCAAGACTTGAGCACAAAGCATATTAGGCTATCAAAGAGCTAAATATGTCTTTGGATGAAAAAAAAGTTACAACTGTGTGAAATAGAAGAACAAAGACAAATGTCTTATGAGAATGCCAAGCTTTATAAGGAAAAGACAAAAAAGTGGCATGATAACAGAATCCAACACCGAGAGTTGAAAGAAGGATAGAAAGTCCTCTTGTTTAACTCTCGGTTGAAACTATTCCCGGGAAAGCTCAAGTCTAGGTGGTCTGGACCCTTTGTCATTCATAAGGTTTACTCTTATGGAGCGGTTGACCTGATTAACCCGGAGGACAGCACGGTGTTTAAAGTGCATGGGCAAAGAGTTAAGGCATTTCATGATGTTGTAGCATTCCCAAAGCATTGCTCTGAGAATTGGGCCACACTTTAAATAAATGTGTTTTGTGGACTTTTCAAAGTCCAATGGTGTTTGTAAATATATTTCCTTTATATATATATATATATATATTAGGACAGTTATGTTTTATAAGTTTGTTAATGT